GCTAATGCTGCTACAGTGCCTAAGGGGGGAAGTAAGGAAAGTGAAGAAAACTCAACTATTAAGGAATTGGCTGCAATGAAACTGGATTTTGAGAAGTATGGGAGGCTCCTAAATCACTTGGAAGCTACGGTGTCTTCAACTCACCCTTCCAACAGTACATCATCTTCATCGGYTTTTGCTCACTCAGGTACATATGCCTCAGCAAATCATGCTTCAGTTTCAAGTAATCATAAACTCCCTTGGATTATAGATTCCGGTGCATCAGACCATATGACCAGCCTATCTAACCTTTTTTGTTCATACCATCTCCTCTCTGGGAAAGAGAAAATATCCCTGGCCGATGGGTCACTTGCCCCCATCTCTGGTAAAGGAGATATAAAGACCTCTGACACCCTGTTCTTATCTTCTGTTCTCCATGTTCCTAAACTTAACACAAACCTTTTATCTGTTAGTAGCTTAACAAAGTCCATGCACTGCAGCATAACCTTCTTTCCAACTTATTGTGTTTTTCAGGACATGCAGTCTCAGAGGACGATTGGGAGTGGCCATGAGGCGAACGGAATATACCTGCTGGACACACCAGATCAAGCCTTGGGATCACCTCATGGAGTTGCTTTAGAGTCAGTGGTGTCAGAGTCTGTTAACAAAATTCTGTTATGTCATTTTCGGTTTGGTCATTTGTCTTTCTCCTTTCCATATTGTTCATTCTGATGTGTGGGGGCCATATCACATGCCAACCATGGGGGGCTACCAGTACTTTATCCTTTTTATTGATGATTATTCTCGTTATACTTGGGTTTATCTCATGAAATCCCGGGATGAAGTACCAATCATTGTGAAAAATTTTCATGAACYCATCCTCACCCAGTTTAATACCCGTATCAAAATATTCCGCTCTGGCAATGCTAAGGAGTATTTTGAGAAAACCCTCTCCACCTACCTTGAAACTTTTGGGGTTATTCATCAAAGCTCTTGTTCCTACACTCCACAACAAAACGGGGCGGCGGAGAGATAGAATAGACATGTGGTTGAGGTTGCCAGATCCCTTTTGTTTGCATCCCATGTTCCTGTGAGGTTTTGGGGAGATGCTGTTCATACTGCTACCTACCTAATCAACCGTATGCCCTCCAGGGTCCTTGGCTTTAAAACCCCCTTTAGTCTTCTCTTCTCGGATGAGGATCTCTTTTCTCTCCCTCTCCGTGTATTTGGGAGTACTTGTTATGTGCATATTCATAGTCACCAAAGGCATAAATTTGAA